AGCACCGGCACACCGGCAAGCTGTTTGGGGACATAGCACTGGCACACTGGCAAGCTGTTTGGGGACATAGATAGCACCGGCACACTGGCAAGCTGTTTGGGGAAATAGCACCTGCACACCGACAAGCTGTTTGGGGACATAGCACCAGCAAGCTGTTTTGGGGAAATAGATAGCACTGGCACACCGGCAAGCTGTTTGGGAACATAACACCGGCACACTGGCAAGCTGTTTGGGGAAATAGATAGCACTGGCAAGCTGTTTGGGGACATAGATAGCACTGGCACAACAGCAAGCTGTTTGGGGACATAGATAGCACTGGCACACCGGCAAGCTGTTTGGGGACATAGCACCGGCACACTGGCAAGCTGTTTGGGGAAATAGATAGCACCGGCACACCAGCAAGCTGTTTGGGGACATAGATAGCACCGACAAGCTGTTTGGGGACATAGATAGCACTGGCACACTGACAAGCTGTTTGGGGACATAGATAGCACCAGCACACTGGCAAGCTGTTTGGGGACATAGCACCGGCACACTGGCAAGCTGTTTGTGATTATAGATACAGCACCGTAAGCTGTTTGGGGACATAGCACCGCACACTGGCAAGCCGTTTGGGACTTAGATAGCACCGCACACTGGCAGCTGTTTGGGGAAATAGCACCTGCACACCGGCTAAGCTGGCGGTTGGGGACATACATAGCACTGGCAAGCCGGTTTGGGGACATAACACCGGCACACCGCAAGCTGTTTGGGGACATAGCACCGGCACACTGGCAAGCTGTTTGGGGACATAGCACTGGCACACCGGCAAACTGTTTGGGGACATAGCATCGGCAAACCGGCAAGCTGTTTGGGGACATAGATAGCACCGGCACACCGGCAAGCTGTTTGGGAACATAGCACTGGCACACCGGCAAGCTGTTTGGGGACATAGCACCGGCACACTGGCAAGCTGTTTGGGGACATAGATAGCACCGGCACACTGGCAAGCTGTTTTGGGGAAATAGCACCTGCACACCGACAAGCTGTTTGGGGACATACATAGCACTGGCAAGCTGTTTGGGGACATAACACTGGCACACCGGCAAGCTGTTTGGGGACATAGCACCGGCACACTGGCAAGCTGTTTGGGGATATAGCACTGGCACACCGGCAAACTGTTTGGGGACATAGCATCGGCACACCGGCAAGCTGTTTGGGGACATAGATAGCACCGGCACACCGGCAAGCTGTTTGGGGACATAGCACTGGCACACCGGCAAGCTGTTTGGGGAAATAGATAGCACTGGCACACCGGCAAGCTGTTTGGGGACATAACACCGGCACACTGGCAAGCTGTTTGGGGAAATAGATAGCACTGGCAAGCTGTTTGGGGACATAGATAGCACCTGAACACCGGCAAGCTGTTTGGGGACATAGCACCGGCACACTGGCAAGCTGTTTGGGGACATAGCACCAGCAAGCTGTTTGGGGAAATAGATAGCACTGGCACACCGGCAAGCTGTTTGGGGACATAACACCGGCACACTGGCAAGCTGTTTGGGGAAATAGATAGCACTGGCAAGCTGTTTGTGGACATCGATAGCACTGGCACACCAGCAAGCTGTTTGGGGACATAGATAGCACTGGCACACCGGCAAGCTGTTTGGGGACATAGCATCGGCACATCGGCAAGCTGTTTGGGGACATAGATAGCACCGGCACACCGGCAAGCTGTTTGGGAACATAGCACTGGCACACCGGCAAGCTGTTTGGGGACATAGATAGCACCGGCACACCGGCAAGCTGTTTGGGGACATAGCACCGGCACACTGGCAAGCTGTTTGGGGACATAGATAGCACCGGCACACTGGCAAGCTGTTTTGGGGAAATAGCACCTGCACACCGACAAGCTGTTTGGGGACATACATAGCACTGGCAAGCTGTTTGGGGACATAACACTGGCACACCGGCAAGCTGTTTGGGGACATAGCACCGGCACACCGGCAAGCTGTTTGGGGACATAGCACTGGCACACCGGCAAACTGTTTGGGGACATAGCATCGGCACACCGGCAAGCTGTTTGGGGACATAGATAGCACCGGCACACCGGCAAGCTGTTTGGGGACATAGCACCGGCACACCGGCAAGCTGTTTGGGGACATAGATAGCACCGGCACACCGGCAAGCTGTTTGGGGACATAGCACCGGCACACTGGCAAGCTGTTTGGGGACATAGCACCAGCACACTGGCAAGCTGTTTGGGGACATAGATAGCACCTGAACACCGGCAAGCTGTTTCAGGAAATAGCACCGGCTCACTGGCAAGCTGTTCGGGGACATAGATAGCACTGCCACACTGGCAAGCTGTTTGGGGACATAGCACTGCCACATCGGCAAGCTGTTTGGGGACATAGATAGCACCGGCAAGCTATTTGGGGAAATAGATAGCACCGGCACACCGACAATCTGTTTGGGGACATAGATAGCACCGGCACACTGGCAAGCTGTTTGGGGAAATAGCACCTGCACACCGACAAGCTGTTTGGGAACATAGATAGCACTGGCAAGCTGTTTGGGGACATAGCACTGGCACACCGGCAAACTGTTTGGGGACATAGCATCGGCACACCGGCAAGCTGTTTGGGGACATCGATAGCACCGGCACACCGGCAAGTTGTTTGGGGACATAGCACTGGCACACCGGCAAGCTGTTTGGGGACATAGATAGCACCGGCACACCGGCAAGCTGTTTGGGGACATAGCACCGGCACACTGGCAAGCTGTTTGGGGACATAGCACCAGCAAGCTGTTTGGGGAAATAGATAGCACTGGCACACCGGCAAGCTGTTTGGGGACATAACACCGGCACACTGGCAAGCTGTTTGGGGAAATATATAGCACTGGCAAGCTGTTTGGGGACATAGATAGCACCTGAACACCGGCAAGCTGTTTCAGGAAATAGCACCGGCTCACTGGCAAGCTGTTTGGGGACATAGCACTGCCACACCGGCAAGCTGTTTGGGGACATAGATAGCACCGGCACACCGGCAAGCTATTTGGGGAAATAGATAACACCGGCACACCGACAATCTGTTTGGGGACATAGATAGCACCGGCATACCGACAAGCTGTTTGGGGACATACATAGCACTGGCAAGCTGTTTGGGGACATAACACTGGCACACCGGCAAGCTGTTTGGGGACATAGCACCGGCACACTGGCAAGCTGTTTGGGGATATAGCACTGGCACACCGGCAAACTGTTTGGGGACATAGCATCGGCACACCGGCAAGCTGTTTGGGGACATAGATAGCACCGGCACACCGGCAAGCTGTTTGGGGACATAGCACCTGAACACCGGCAAGCTGTTTCAGGAAATAGCACCGGCTCACTGGCAAGCTGTTCGGGGACATAGATAGCACTGCCACACTGGCAAGCTGTTTTTGGACATAGCACTGGCACACCGGCAAACTGTTTGGGGACATAGCATCGGCACACCGGCAAGCTGTTTGGGGACATAGATAGCACCTGCACACCGACAAGCTGTTTGGGAACATAGATAGCACTGGCAAGCTGTTTGGGGACATAGCACTGGCACACCGGCAAACTGTTTGGGGACATAGCATCGGCACACCGGCAAGCTGTTTGGGGACATAGATAGCACCGGCACACCGGCAAGCTGTTTGGGGACATAGCACCGGCACACTGGCAAGCTGTTTGGGGACATAGCACCAGCAAGCTGTTTGGGGAAATAGATAGCACTGGCACACCGGCAAGCTGTTTGGGGACATAACACCGGCACACTGGCAAGCTGTTTGGGGAAATAGATAGCACTGGCAAGCTGTTTGTGGACATCGATAGCACTGGCACACCAGCAAGCTGTTTGGGGACATAGATAGCACTGGCACACCGGCAAGCTGTTTGGGGACATAGCATCGGCACATCGGCAAGCTGTTTGGGGACATAGATAGCACCGGCACACCGGCAAGCTGTTTGGGAACATAGCACTGGCACACCGGCAAGCTGTTTGGGGACATAGATAGCACCGGCACACCGGCAAGCTGTTTGGGGACATAGCACCGGCACACTGGCAAGCTGTTTGGGGACATAGATAGCACCGGCACACTGGCAAGCTGTTTTGGGGAAATAGCACCTGCACACCGACAAGCTGTTTGGGGACATACATAGCACTGGCAAGCTGTTTGGGGACATAACACTGGCACACCGGCAAGCTGTTTGGGGACATAGCACCGGCACACTGGCAAGCTGTTTGGGGACATAGCACTGGCACACCGGCAAACTGTTTGGGGACATAGCATCGGCACACCGGCAAGCTGTTTGGGGACATAGATAGCACCGGCACACCGGCAAGATGTTTGGGAACATAGCACTGGCACACCGGCAAGCTGTTTGGGGACATAGCACCGGCACACTGGCAAGCTGTTTGGGGACATAGCACTGGCACACCGGCAAGCTGTTTGGGGACATAGATAGCACCGCACACGGCAAGCTGTTTGGGGACATAGCACCGCAATACCGGCAAGCTGTTTGGGGACATAGCACTGTGCAAGCTGTTTGGGAAATAGATAAAATTGGCACACCGCGCTGTTTGTAGCCAGATAGCACTGCGTTGTTTGGGACATAGGATAGTACTGGCACACCAGCAGCTGTTTGGGGACATAGATAGCACTGGGTAACACCGCAAGCTGTTTGGGGACATATAGCACCGTAGTAATACTGGCAAGCTATTTGGGGAAATAGATAGCACCGGCACACCGACAAGCTGTTTGGGGACATAGATAGCACCGGCACACTGGCAAGCTGTTTGGGGAAATAGCACCTGCACACCGACAAGCTGTTTGGGAACATAGATAGCACTGGCAAGCTGTTTGG